CCTAATCGATTTCTCTATTCATTCTGAGCATTTATGTATACATTTGTCTATATCTATCTCGATTCGTTTTGGCTGTTACAAACAACCGTTATGTGAACAAAATTAATATACCCTTGTGCACAAGTTTCGAACTGATTGAATAGATCTTTGGTAACATATTCGCTTTCATTTGCTCCATCAACGCCTAAAATTTCGTAATGCGTTGACAGGAAATCAGCACGTAGGTTTTCAATTCAATCTAAACGTATTTTGAAATGATGTCTCGATTTTCGATCGGGTCCGTCTTTTTTTAAATTTAGAAGTTCCTTTTTTAGGCGATCATACCTCTCGATCTGCTGCTTAGCAGCTCGATCAATTTTCTCTTTTTCTCAATCGAATGGCCAAACTGCAATTCAATCACTTACCCTTTACTCTAGTAGCTCGGCCCGGAAATACAGAAGTCCAAAATCGGATGATTTGTCAAACGTCAACGTAATTCAAACAGTTGTCCTCACAGGCTATCAAAATGTGCCCAGTGATAAGATGGATGATGGCTCCGGTCCAGGATGACGTGCGATTAATTTATATAACGAGTTATAAAATTCGGGCGGTGTCCACGTGTGACCCCAATGCAATTTTTGTTGAAAGCAAACGGATTTAATGAGCCATCCGGCGCGTAAGGACCAATATTTCGTATGCGATTAAATGATGTTCCGGATGGAAGTTGGTCGGATATCAATAATATTCTTAATCAATACTCGTGGACAATGAAAATAAAAAACACGACCGATTGACCAAGTATACCTTTTGCCATGCTTTATTTCCTCATTTGTTATTTTAGGGATTACAGAAAACCCAAGAGTGTTTGTAAAGTATCGAAATCGATAAACATGCAGCATTACACTGCATCTACACTATGGTAATTACATAGAGAAAATCACTATCCTTACACTATATCTGCAGTGACTATTTATGAATTTAATTCTGAACTTAATAAGGTTTTTTCACATGCGCCTGCAGAGCTGGGTCCCTGCTTGGGCACCATTTATGAGGTTGGTTTTGTCGAGGGCTGAGGTACGCTCAGCCGCTCCAGAGTCCAGCGAAGGTCCCACTAAGCCCCACCAAATAAAACACAATGATTTGTGTATTAAGTCCAGCACACCCACACACCACACACACGTTGCTATCTAGAATGCCGGCAACTTATCGTACAGGGCAGAGCGTAAGGTAGAGAGAGAGAGAGTCGGCAATCGGTGTCGGAGATTATTCGGCGGGTAATTGTACGGCGACGGGAGTGCTACTGATGACACCCGATTGGCAGTGCTACGCGTCAGTCGTAGTAAAGTGCGTGGAATGAGAGCAGTCGCGGCGGTTGTGACGGCGACAGCGACGGCTGCCTGCAGTTCCCTTGCAGTGGTGGTGGCGGCCTTAGCGGTGACGTTGGCAGTGGCCCATGTAATGATGAGGGCGGCAGCGACCTCCCACAGTGGTGTTGTATGCGGCCCTGATTGTGGCGAAGGGCGAATGCGGCCCTTTTTAACTACGGCGGTGACAGCGGTCCTGGACGACGATGGCTGACGTCCGCAGTAGCGATTACCGTACTCATGACGGGTAGTAGCGGCGGCCTAGAGCGACGATAATTGCGGCGGCCTCGGTGGTGAAGACAGTAGCCGCGGGCCCTGATGGTGGCAACGGTGACAGCGGCCCTGGTTTGCGATAGTTAGCGTTCGCAGTCCTCGGTGATGATGGCGGGCAGCCCACGGTTGTAGCTTCGGCCTTGGGGCGGCCGTAATAGCAGCGGCCCCCAACGATTAGAGCAGCGGTGCGGGCCCTAGCGGTGGGGATGATTATTGCGGCGGCCCTGGATGACGGTGAAAAGCCGGAGGTCCTCGGTAGAAATGTCGGCCTTGGGGCGGCAGTATGAGTAGCGGCCCCCGGTGATTAGAGCAGCGGTGCGGGCCCTAGCGGTGGGGACGATTATTGCCGCGGCCCTGGATGACGGTGAATAGCGGGCGGTCCTCGGTAGAAATTTCGGCCTTGGGGCGGCAGTAGTGCTGGCGGTCCAGATTGGTGATACCTACGGACAACTGATCATTAGTGCGGTCCCCCAGGGCATCGAAACTTTGCCCAGTCCCCCCGTATGTATTCGTGGCCGCTAGGCAATGCAGGGGGTGGTTCGCCCCCCTTCAGCGCCCGCTGGCCGCGCGGTATCATAAGCAGACAGGGGTGCTCGGAATTGGGCAAGCCCAAAGGGGTTACGCCCCCTGTCTGCTTGATACCGTATCCAAAAATGGTTCTAGCCCATAATGGTTTTGGAGTTTTGCATGAGGGGTATTCCCCCCCTTGCAGCCCCCTTCAACCAATCAGTCCTCCTCCGAGGAGGAAAACCAAGAGCGCCCCAAATAGGCCCGAAGCCCCGGATACGCTCCGTGCTTACCTACGGACAACTGATGCTGGTATGCGGCTTTGTATGAGCTGTTTGAGAAGTGAGTGGGCTTATTCCGCGTTATGTGTTTTGAGTAGCGAATTTCTTCCATATGTTAGTGCGCATGGTTATCCAAGTTGGTGTTTGCGAAATTTTTATGCGCTTGCCATGCCAGCTTCGTGTATGCGTATGTATGTACGTATGTATGTTTTAGTCTCGTTGGTATGTTAGTTTGTGTGTACGTCTACCAGTATGTATGTATGTTTATATATTTGTACCTATGTGCAGTTGTAAGGCGCATGCTAGGGTGATGTCGAATATGTTATTGTAGCGCAGGCGAAGCTACTTTACAGACATTTGAAAAAAAATACACTTTTTTCTTAAAATACGGGTGCTATTAAATTGATATTTTATTATGATTAGAAATGGTTTGCAGATGTTTGTAGTGCTTTTATTTTCGTTTGTAGTTCAACAGATACGAAATAAAGACATTTGAAAAAAAATTTACTTTTTTCTTAAAATCCGGGTGCTAACAAATTGATATTTTATTATGATTCGAAATGGTTTGTAGATGTTTGTAGTGCTTTTTATTTCGTTTGTAGTTCAACAGATACCGAAATAAAGACAGTTAAAAAAATACTTTTTCCTTAAAATCCGGGTGCTAAAAAATTGATATTTTATTATGATTAGAAATGGTTTGTAGATGTTTGCAATGCTTTTTATTTCGTTTGTAGCTCAACAGATACCGAAATAAAGACATTTGAAAAAAATAATACTCTTTTCTTAAAATCCGGAAGCTGACAAATTTATATTTTATTGTGATTAGAAATGGTTTGTAGATGTTTGTAGTGCTTTTTATTTCGTTTGTAGTTCAACAGATACCGAAATAAAGACAGTTAAAAAAAAGATACTTTTTCCTTAAAATCCGGGTGCTAACAAATTGATATTTTATTATTATCAGAAAGGGTTTGTAGATGTTTGTAGTGTTTTTTATTTCGTTTGTAGTTCACCAGATACCGAAATAAAGAAATTTGTATGTCGAACGAAATAAAAAGCGCTACAAACAACTACAAACCATTTCTGATCATAATAAAATATCAACTTGTCAGCACCCGGATTTTAAGAAAAAGTATTTTTTTTTTTTCAAATGTCTTTATTTCGGTATCTCTTGAACTACAAACGAAAAGAAAAGCACTACAAACATCTGAACACCATTTCTAATCATAATAAAATATCAATTTAATAGCACCCGTATATTAAGAAAAAAGTATTTTTTTTTTCAAATGTCTTTATTTCGGTATCTGTTGAACTACAAACGAAATCAAAAGCACTACATACATCTACAAACCATTTCTAATCATAATAAAATATCAATTTGCTGGCACCCGGATTTTAAGAAAAAAGTATTTTTTTAAACTCTCTTTATTTCGGTATCTATTGAACTACAATCGAAATAAAAACAGAAAAAATCAAAACAACTACAAAAGATTTCCTACAAGGTATACTAGTCAAATTGATTGTAGATGAAAGTGGGGTGGGGCGATTTTTTCAACCGATCGTATTTCGTTATCTGTTAAGCTACAGAAGAAATCAAAACCACTACAAAAAACTACAAACGATTTCCTACAAGGTACACTAGTCAAATTGATTGTTGGTGAAATTGGGGTGGGGGCGATTTTTTCAATCCATCGTATTTCATTATCTGTTAAGCTACAGAAAAAATCAAAACCACTACAAATAACTACAAACGATTTCCTACAAGGTACACTAGTCAAATTGATTGTAGGTGAAAGTGGGGGGGGGCGATTTTTCAACCTATCGTATTTTGTTATCTGTTGAACTACAACAAATTTAAATCCTCTACAAACAACTACAAACAAAGTCCTACAATGTGCACTGGTGGGGGGCTAACTTCACAGAGCTCTCCGTAAGGCATGTTTGCTCATGTATGGATATACATACATACATACATTTGCATGTAGTTAACTTATACCATTTTCTGACCGACATCGAAAACATGTTTTCGTTGGTAAAACTGGTTTTCAACCGAAAACTTGTGTTTTCGTCCATGTAAAATCTGTCAAATGAAAACACGTCGGAAACCAGTTTTCGTTGAAAACTACTTGAAAACTCACGTTCCACTCGTTCCAATCAGTGCCTGCACTAGTTTATTCGATATTAGTGGAAGACATATTTTGTCATCCCTAAATTGTCACTTGTTATTTATTTATGTGGATTTAGTGAAAAATATGGAGAAAACTAAGTACAAGAAAAGGAATGTTTGGAATGACAGGGGAGAAGCCTTGCTAATAGATATTTGGCAAACAAAAGTCGGCGCACTTCGCGGGCACAGAAAAACTAGCCATATTATTGAGGAAATGGCATAGGAGACGCAGCAACAAGGCGTGGTGTGCACAGCTGCTGAAATAAAGCAAAATGCACAACTTGTCCCAAAAGTTTAGGTGAGTGAACTAGGGCTATAGTAAAGGTTAATAGTTTAATTAACATTATCATTTACAGAAAGGAAAAGCAAGCAGTCACCCTCACAGTGGCACTTATTATATGCTTTCGCCATATCGGAGTTACAACCCGGAGGGCTTATTGGAAGAAAGCTTTAGCAGTAAGAGACCTTGTTTTAATATTTGTGTATTTTTTTATTCATATGTGCTTATTTTAAAAAGGCAATAGTTCAATATGCAGATCCACTAACTCCGAATCCGTACGGATTTCGGAGGAACCGGCTGCATCTCCTTCTTCATGTGTTGTTGATGGATCTCCATTGCCATGACCGTCTTCAACACCTTCGCCGTCAGCAATTAGCATATCGACACCTTCGCCTTCGGCAATTACCATGTCGTCACCCGAGCCGTCAACATCGACCATGTCACCCAATCCGTCAGAAATCAGCGAGCCTACAAATAAAAGAAGAAATCATTTTCAAAGTATTTTATTACAAAAATTTGACAAAATAGAAAAAGAGCTGGAGAAGTCTAACAAAGATTATGAAGAAACAAGCCAACAGCTAAAAATAATGACAGAGAAACTGGCTGAAAACGATAACAAAAAACCCCAACTAATGGGAGAGTATGTTAAAGAAACGAAAGAAATTAACAAGGCTATACTTCAATTTCTAAAGAATTGAAAAAATTGCATACAGTGGCGAACAAAAGTATTGGCACAGAGATTTTGTTCGCAATATATGCAAAGTTTTTTATTGTAATTTCTTTTCGATAATGTTTTATAAAAACATATTTCATATTACACCAAAAAACATAGAAATAAAATCTCTAAACTTCGTGATTTTTTTAGCAAGTTCAAATTTGCCCTTGAATAAAATTGAATGGGCTCTAAAACTGCATGCCAAGAATTTGTCCCAAAAATCTGAACAGAAAGTTGCAAATTAGTATGCAAATTTATTTAATTTTTCAGAGTTTTCCACGAAGTTTAGAGATTTTATTTTTATGTTTTTTGGTGCAATATGAAATATGTTTTTATAAAACATTATCGAAAAGAAATTACAATAAGAAACTTTGCATATATTGCAAACAATTCTCAGTGCAAATGCTTTTGTTCGCCACTGTGTGCACGTGAAATGTGCGCAAATATGAATAACTAAAAAAAAAAATAAAAATAAAATAATGTAAATATGAAATATGTGAAACTATATATATTAGAATTAGAAATTAGAATAAAAAACTTTGCATATATTGAGAATAATTCTCTGTGCAAATACTTTTGTTCGCCACTGTGTGCGCGTGAAATGTGTGCAAATATGAATAACTAAAAAAATAATAATAATGTAAATATGAAATATGTGAAACTATGAAAATAAATGAATGAAAAATAAATATAAAGTATGGGTATATTTCAAATACGTGGACAGAAAATCAACGGCTACGTTCAACGAAATTTTAAGGGATTGTAGGGAAGTACACAGAGAAGGTTGTTATACTATATAAATTTTATTCCAATCCGTCAAATCACTTAGAAGATATGGGAATCATATCTATATAGGTATTATATTCTATAAAGTTACAAAGGCAAAGGCGCAGTCAAAGGCAACGACAAAGACAAATATAAAAATAAGGACAAAGATTAATATTGATATTAAGGGAAAAGATGATGAAGTAGAAGATAGAGATGAAGAGAACTCTTCTCTCTAGCTCTTCGTTATTCGTTTATATTTGTAATTGGTAATTGGTGTAATTAATATACTTACTTAAATACGTGCACAGCGCAGATCGTATCATTTCTGCATTACTTGGGTCATCAGATATATATCTCACATCACTCGGGTATTGGCGCCTAGTCTCCAACTCCTCCAAAGCCTGTAACCACTTACTGTTTAGGGAATCATTGCAATCATTTAGAAAGTTGTGAAGGATGCAACATGCTTTAATTATGGAATTGGCATTCCGTATAGAGTTGTCAATTCCTTTTCCAACGCGACGAAATCGGGCTTTGAGGTGTCCAAAAGCGTTTTCGACAACTCTACGAACTTTTGAAAGAGCATAGTTAAATACTTTTTCATTTGAGTTTTGATTTACGCTAAATGGGTACGGTTTCATAAGTTTTTTGCTAAATCTAAAAGCCAAATCTCCAATAATAAATACTGGCACATTTACACCAGAAATTTCCCGAGTCATTTCGCTTAGTGAGGGACAATTCTCTATCTCCTGCTTAAGTGATGATGACTCAAAAATTTGTGAGTTGTTGCATCGCCCGGGACTCCCGACGTTTATGTAAATGAAGCGGTATCTGAAAAGATTAGGCATTATCGTTTATTTACTTATACCTGTATCTGAAATTCAGGATTTTACCTAGCGTCAACTAATGCCATTAAAACAGTAGAATACCACCCTTTATAATTATAATAATCCACAGCTTCTTCAGATGATGGATGTACCTCAATGCGGCATCCGTCTGTAAACAACAAATATTATTTCACCTGCGAAGATTAAAAAATGAATAACTCTATATTAACCAATTGCTCCCAAGCATTGCGGGAATCCAAGTGTCTCGAATCCACTAACCAATTCAGCAACAATTTCCCTAGTAAGTGGCAATTTATTCAAGTAAGTTGGCTGTAGAAGCCTCCAGATTTCGTTGCAAAATTCCAGCAAAATATGGTATACCGTTGATTTGCCTACACCGAACATATTTGCGATGCACCGATACTCTGCAGACGAGCCTAAAGCAAATACTGCTATAGCCACTCTTTTTTCAAGTGGAATAGCTTTCCTATAGTTTGTGCCCATTTTTCGTAGAGGCCTAAGGATGTCGCATAGTTTCTCAAATGAGCTATTGTTCATGCGAAAATTTTCTCTAAAAAAAAGCAGGTCCATTTCTTTGGCAATCAAATTCCCAAAAATGCTGCTTACGTTCCTAGAATTATTAGCATTTATTTGTACCCTCATTTCTACGTTGGTAGAAAAATATACAAACTTTTGTCCAACACGATTTGATCGGCATCCCAAGTTCCTTTATTAAACTGAGTAAGATCAAACGCTGTTTCTTTAATTTCGCGATCTTCTCTGCAAGGGCTGAGTGCCTCCTAGTGATAGCTTCCATCACTTCTCTTATGGAATCATCGGCGCACAATATTTTTGTGTGGCTTCTCAAAGCCAATACTTTCGCTAGAGTTTTTTTCTTGTCAGAATTCTATAATACACGATTTTATTAACAATTTAACCAAATATACGAATTAACATCTTACCATTCTCGTTGCTAATAAATGTAAACAAACACAATGATGTCTCAAGTGTCAACGAAAACAGATCGAAAACACAAAATGTCGGTCAGAACGACATTGAGTCCACAATCCACAAACCGTGTTTTCAACGTGTTTTCGATGTCGGTCAGAACATTGTATTACATACATACCCAGAAGAAATTTTATGTATACAACATCGCTGTTGGTGGCATGAGCTTGCTGCTGTGTATACATGTGTGTGCAGGGCCGTAGCCAGGATTTTTTTTCAGGGGGGTTCTGGCAAAATTTTTTTTAGTTTCACTTTTATTCCACATATTTTTATTAAAAGAAAAATACTGATAAAAATAAAATTTTTCATAAAAACAGGGTTGAAATCTTGAAATTCCTGCCCGTAGTTTGTTTGTTAGTCAAATATGAGTGGCATTGTGCTACTATGTACAACTTATGTACAGTAGTCGAAAAAATTATAGCCGCACCAAATTTTGACAAGTTTTGAAATAATATTTTTGTTGTTATTTAATTTCTGTTAGTTTTTTATGGTTCGTTCTTTACCAACATTCGTATAAATACAAGTTTAAAGGCAGTGTCACACGATTGGGTTTTCGCTAAAATTTGGTGTAAATCGTATCCCAATTGTTTGAACACCCAAAATACTTTTCACTATCCCAATCACGAAAATTGATTTATTGAAATTTTTCAATAGAACGTCGCTGTATTGTACCAATCTTTTGAATGCAAAAAAAAAAATTGTCCCACTTTCTTTTACCAATAGCCCAATATAAAAATTTACAAATCTGTACAAATGTACCAATCGAGTGACACTGCCTTAAAAATGTATGCAATTTAAACAAAAATGCTACAAATTTTCGTTAAAATTTCGAGTTTTTTAATTAAATTCTGAGTATGCAGTTTTGTAGCCCATTAAATTCTAGTAGAATAAAGTACACGTCTCAAATGGCTAAAAATGTCGATTGATTTTTTAGAATTTTTAAAAGTTCGAAATTTGTACGAAAGTTTGTTGAATTTTTTTAATATTGCACAAATGAGTAGTCCACTTGCAAACAGCGTTATGTGATTTTATAATAGTGGGCCATAATTTAAAAAAACGTCCAAATTGTATATTTCTCTTTATTATCTGAAAATTTGGATAAACAAGAGCCTAATAACATTAAAAAACAATATGGCAATGTGGTAGTTTTTACAAATTTTATATATAAAAATTGAATACAGCGAGTTTAGAAAGAGTAACTTTTACATAGATATATTTTTTTTGCTTTTCGCGTTCGCTCTTCCATGAAGATTGGTCTGCTTCTTTTTTACGACGTCTTCCACTATGCACCGAAACTAACACGTTTTCTTGCAGTTTTCTAAGTTCATCAGAAGATGGAGACTTTTGAAAATATATAAATAAGACATTTGCAGTAGTAGTTAACTTTTGATGATATATTTTCAGAAAATAGAAAGATTTTGCACTGTATTGTTAGTGGACATGAAACTACTTTAAATACTGGTACGTTACTCACCAAAGACTAAAAATCTAAAAAAATTTACATAGCGCCTTTGCAAGTGGACTGCTCAAATTTGGAAACTTGGATCTCTACGGGTTTTGTTAAAGAACGAACTACATTTTTATTTAAAAATATAACAAAAGTTCAATAACAACAAATATAATACGTTAAAACTGGCAAAAAGTGGTTCGGTTATAATTTTTTGACCACTATGTATTTTTTTATATCTTTAATTGGACCTTCACATTGTACATAAAGGAAGTACATAACAAAATTAAAAAAATATATGCCTTTTTTTGAAGTTCGTTTTGCCTTTTTCAAGTTTAAGTGCCTTTAAAACCTAAACTTCTACATTTCGGGGGTCCTACAGCCTAAATGTATACTATGCATACGGTGACCATCCGTCCTTTATTTCAAAGGACAGTCCTTTATTTTAACCCCCTGTCCTTTATAATTTTTTTCAAAATAAAGGACACGTTTTGTCCTTCATTTCTTAAACTGTCCTTTAAATCAGCTCTGCATTTTTCAGAGGTAAATTTTTCAGAATATGAAAAATAAAAATGTTCCTTATAAAATATAATGAAAATCTTCGCCAGTTTGTTTCGCACCCCACTTAAGGGTTTTTATTTATTAGGTAATATTTGCACAATATATAAAGCACAGGGAAAGTTGTGCACAGGATCGTTTTGCACGCTGAGTTTCCAGTTCCATTGAAAGAGAACAATAAACCTGCTGCACAGTGGTCTAAAGTGGCATTTAGTGTTCGTAATTCACTGTAGCCTTCATTTTTTTAACTTAATTTAATAATTTTTTTTATTAAAGCTTATAATATTTGCAAGATACCAGTTTAGCTTGTGAATTTTTATTTGATTGTATTAAATTTTTTAGTGCAAAATGCTGAAAAAGTGGCAATTTTGAATAAAATGGAGAATACACTAGTTAATAAATGTTACATAACAAAGACTAGTTAAAAACAATTTTATGGTTCCCCAAAACGAAAAAATTACAAAAAATGTTTGAAATGTTATAAAAAAAAGCTCACAAAAATATTTTTTTTTTGGTTTTTAGTAAAAATTGGTTGAAAAATTGAAGACTGCGGTGAATTACGAACATTAAATTCCAATTTTGAACCTCTGTTTGCTGACTTCGGTAAATGTATTTTGGCAGCAAAGGATGATGAAGTCCTTGAAAAGGATTTGGTTTAATTTTCCGGAATCGGTTAATTAACTGGTAAATACTTGATTTAAATTACGATATGGGAAAGGTACTTTTATCGTACAAGTTGTATGTACGTATTCCCAAATAATTTTGAAAAAAATTTCCTTTATTTTACATTGGTTAATATGGTCACCGTAACTATGTACTTAGCTTTAAATTTTAAAATTTTCGAAGCTCTCTATGTTTGTCTTCATTTAAAGCAGGGATCACAAGATTTGTACATTTTAACAGTAACAGAGTGGTCTTGTTTTAAAGTTGTTATTGAGCAGACAACAGCATGAGTGTACTCACTTCCACCTAAATAGTATGAACTGATTGCTGTGAACTGTATAAGGGTAGTGAGAAACACAATGAAAACAATGTTTAGCTGCAGTGTACTCATTTGATTTCAAATATGGCATTGATATACTCTTTCGAAATCAAGTCAAGCGAGTGAAAAACGCTGTTATGAAAAGCAAGTCGAGCAATCGAATGACACTCATCGACTTCAGACAATTAGTAGAGAATACGACAAATTAAAAGAAAAATGGATATTGGATGAAGTATTTTTTTAAATATATTAGTTTTACTAAATTATTTAATTATCCACCTGACGTACATTTATATAACTAGTCTACAAAAGAAATGCACTGTTACCTCAGAAGACATCGGCTTTATAAGAGACTTGAAAAAATAAGTTGATTTATTATTTAAAAACAGTTGCAGTTGAGAACTTAACTAATGTGCACAAAATTGCGCTTTTTTTATACCCGCCAGCAAAAGAGCTCAAGAACCTTACCGAATCTGAGCAAAAATACACAAAAGAGAAATGTGCAGTCATAGAGTAATAGCCCCTCCTTCAACAAGCGCATTGTCAGAAAGAGTTTTTTCTTCTGCTGGAAATGTTATTCCTGACAAAAGATGCCGCCTTTTGCCAAATGATGATGCCCTTAATGAGTTGATATTTTTGCATTATAATATGCAGTTAGAAAACCAATAAAATTAACAAAAATTGTCTTTACAAATTGTTCTTCTTTGATACTTACATTACAGCAGTTATGGCATGCACTTGTTTTTACAATCAAGCACTTGTTATTTGAATCGAGTACTTGATAGTGTGAATTACTCACTCAATTGACAATGTTTTTTCAATGCTATCGCACGTTATGTTTGGAGATAAATGAGTGCGAGTGTGTGCAGATGTGAAAAGAAAGCGAGTGACTTAAAATGTAATTTGAGTGTATCCATGCAGCTCTCTGTTATTGAGCTAAAGTCAACACCACTCTATGACTGCTAAAATGTACAAATTAGTACAATTGTACAAATCGTGCGATCCCTGCTTAACAGCTTCATTACAGCGTGTTCACTACTGCTAGTGATAGCAGAGCGTAATTTTCCGGCGCAACTATGTTGGATAGTTTTAGACAGTGGTATGATAGATTCTATTGTGAATTCCTTGGTAAGATAAAATACCGGAAATAAGTTTGAATAAGTCAGCTGTTAACCTTGTGATAATAGGTTCTTTCCCGTACGAAACACGGGATCCCGCGGGTACCAAAACAGCCCAGAAATCATTCCCGTACTCAACAAAATGGGTAATAGAGAGCGAAAATTGGAAGGTATTGGATCGTAACTGTCTTCTTCTTCCTGCCCGAAACAGCCCGGACTTTTTCTCCGGGTAAAAATGGATAAAGTGTCAAAGTGCATCTCAGCTGTTTTGTGTTTACATTTTGCCTGCATTTACTTGGTGCTTTTAAGGAATAGTGAATGACCTGTTGATGTATCTTCAATCTCAACATACTGAAAATCAAATTTGTGAAACCAATTTTCAATTTCCAAGAGTTTACATTTATGTGACAAAAACAAAAACAACGTGAATCAGCTGTTTCTCAATTTCTGGGCACAAAATGTGGTTTTTTGCGTTTCCGTACTTCTGGACTATTTTCCATTTTTGAGAGCAAACTTCTCGCTTATTCTCTAGTTACCGGATCCGGTCCGGATTGTTAGGGAAAGAACCTATTTCTATACGAATTTCTGTAGAGCAACTTCCAGGTGTGGGATTCGTACTTGAGCTGAATGCTTAAATTAAATAACACTCCGATTTGTTTCTGATTATGCTCCGAAAGGTGTTCTTACACGATATTTATTTGCATCTGTAAAGGTGACTTTTTCAATACATATGTAATTGCGTATGTCTGTCAAATTCAGTATTTAAAAATGCAAACGAAGTAATCTAAA